ATGTAACCTAACATCTAACATCATTTAACTACAAATTTCAAGAACATTTAAAAATAGCTCTGTCCTCAGGTGTAGGGATAATGCAATGTCATTAAAACCACCATGATGAAATATATGGTTTCCAAATTAGTACTTACATCTTTCTGTGGCTGTGACACTTAGGTTGTACCATGCATTGATCTCCCGGTCAAGTGTGCTAGTGACAATGATTGTGCCATTGTCCCTGATAGTGAACTCTTTACTTCCAGTAATGGAATATCTGCACCAAGAGAAAAGACCCCCCTTGTATCATCATATTTGCTGTATCACATTGATATATAACATGGCTTTATGCCACCAGGTAAATTATTAAAAGCATACTCTGCATAGCTAATGAGATGTCGGTTTTAAAAATGGCACATTCACATATTTAGTGAACTCACCAGTCATAGGAAAAAGAAACTAATACAGCTTTACATTTAAATTGGTGTATGCTAAATCTAAACACACATAACTCATTATCAAACCCAAGAGAGGATTTCAGTATGTAAATGACATGTTTAAAAAGAAATCCCCTGCCCTCCCCCCAAAAAAATTTTGTGAGATACAGAGAAGAAAAAGAAAGTAGTAGAAATGAGTGACTGTGAACCTTTTCTTTTTTTCTTTCTTTTCTACACAAGATCTACTGCGTGAGAATCTGTGTAAGATATTATATGATATTATAATTACTTAATTACTATCATACAAAAGTTTCTTTTGTCCATTTAAATAAAAAAATGATAAGACTTGATAAAATAACTTCTTTTAGGTAGCAGATTGACCTTTAATTTTGTTCCAGAATTATATAATATTTCAAGTTCCAGAAATATCCTAGATCCACTGTCCTTTACTTAGGGGATGCACATATTGATTAATGTACAATGGAGCACACATGAAAGGAAGTCAAGGTGCAAAATACATCAGGTGAAAGTCTGCAAAATTATCTCAAATCTACAATGAAAGAAGCCTTGAAGTTCTCGGCATGTCTCATCAGCTTGCAAATGATGAATAATGAAAAGTAAAGTAAAATACCATGTGGTTTCAATGATGGCTTCTCACTGTGCATATATTCCTGAATATTTCCATGAGATTTGCCATAATTGTGGCAAAGATGAGAATAATTTAATCTTGAATTGACAGATTTCTAAAAATATTATACTAATTTTTATCATGGTGTTCAAGAAAGAATTAAAATAGAAATTAGAATGAAGACTTAGAGGAGTTCAGTTTTAAATACATTTGAACATTCAGAAGCATTTTATTTAAATGTCTACAAGTGATCATATTTCCCACTGAATATATTTGTCGGCAAAATTAAAGAGGATTTTAACAGTTGACATTTTGTATTAAATATCCCATTTTGTTTCTGGAAACACCACTGCAACTAAAACCCACAAAAAGTTTGATAAGGAGTTATAAATTCTTATAAATTAGTAGATAATGAATATATCTAGATCCCATTGACAAATTAAAATGGAATAAAATCATATGCAGTCCCCTAGGAAGATTGGATAATAGTATGTGATTTAAACAATAATATATAATATGAATTATTTTCCTTATTTTTTTCTAGAGCCGCCAATTCTGATTTTATAGATTTTTTTTTCTTCCTCACATCATCTTCACCAGATGAAATCTCCTTGGCCTTGAGATAAATTGAAGCTAATCAAATTTTATATGTGGATGCATTTTCCTTTTACAACATTTTTTTAAATTAGGAGAAAACATCAGGAAACTAATCAATAGTAAATTATTTTATTTTGGTTTGTACTATCCTCCTCTCAGTTACACTGGCAATGTTCTCACTAATTCAATTAAATGCATATTTTTAAATAACTTAAGTCTCATAGGACTGTTGTCAACAGTACAAATTTTCCCTTAAGCCTCTCACCCAGATTCTGCTTCTAAATTGTTGTGTATGACCATAATGTTATTATTATTTCAAGATAAATTAAATGCTCTACTTTTATTAAATAAAATACAAACTGTAGTATTGGATTTTGCCAGTCATTCCACTAATATTTTTTTCCCTTATTCATAGTTCTGTCTGGGATTATGTAGTGCATTTTTTTCCATGTCTCCTTAGTCCCCTCCACAGTGTATCAATGTCCTTGTTTGGTAGGCCCTTTAGTGTATGGGAAAATATTAGTTGGTGATTTTATACAGTGCCTCTCAAATGTCGGTGTCTGTCTGAGGCTTTCTCATGATCAGATAAAATGGGCATGAAAGTTACAGAGGTATCAATCTTGTCTTAGTAATTGTAATATTAGCTGTGATTCTTGATCAAAGTATCTGCCAGGTTTCTTCACTGTAAAACTACTATGTTTTTGTAATTATCAAAGATCTCAGGAAGATATTCTGAAAACATTTGATTTCTTCTTATATATTAACCTACTGATTTCAGTATCCATGTATAAATAATGACCACAATATTACCACTTTAGTTTGCTAATGTTGATATCTATTCCTTTTATTATACATTTACTAATTACAATTATTTTACAAGTGATTAAAAATGTGCCCCTTTATTTATCTTCATCAATATCTATTCATGAGTATTCATGAGAATTGTTTCCAATGATTCAAACCAAAACTCATCAGACAAACCAAATATTTTAATTCATTTGTTGTTCAAATATTCAGTTTTGGACATTGGGTATTAATTACAGCACAGTTCCTTGGCCCTTTTAACACACTTCTATTCTTGCATTCTTTTATGGCTTCTTCCTTACATTCTTAGAACCACAATGTTCTCCCTGTAATAACTGTGGATTCAACTAATTCTCCAGTCAGTCTCATTTCTTTTGATTGGAGAAGAGTATTTTAAGCAAGATCTGGATGCAACAGTCTCCATTACTTCTTGTGATTCCTTTATTTTAAGCCCCCTGAGTAAATATCAAGAGCAAATATATGTATGCATATCTGTGGTAAAAAACAAACCTACCTTTATTATCATATTTATTATATATACATATATAGAGTCAGTTATTCCTTCACATATGTGGGTTCACGTCAGTGTAGTCAACCAACTATGTATCAAATGCATTTGGAAAATGTGTCCACCATCTTGGTGATGACCTAGAACAATTTGATCACTCCCTCTTTTTCTGCATTACCTTTGTATTCAATCATATCACAGGTTTTATCTTTTAGCTTTAGTTTCAGGTTTTGATCCATTTGCCCCAAATATGTCATGTGTTATTAAAATAAAGTTTTCAGTTTGGGGAGTTTATGAATAAAACTGCTATATATTTCTGCCTACAGTGCTTCATGTCAATACAAGGGCACTGTAGGTGAGTTGGACCCACCTAAACACCACAAACTGAGTGGATAAATATGGCTGAAATTTATTCTCTGAGTCCTGAGAACTCAGAATACAAAAATCAAGTGCCATCAAGGAATCATTCCTTGCCAGATGCCGTTGTGCTCTGGCCACACTCACCTCCTAAACTTGTAGATACCCTCCATCAATTTCTGCTTCCCTGGTCATCTATTTCCCCCATTTCTGCTTCCACTGTCCCTTGTCTGTCACCCATCCTTGTGCCTAAGTCTTTCTATCAGGACATCAGCTCTACTGATTTCAAGGCCCACACTCCCGCTCTGTAACATTCTCCTAACTACTCATCACTTCGACTTCGACCCGTCTCCCCCATTCAGGCTACATTCTGATGTAGTTTGTTGGACTCAACATCATCTTTTGGAGACATAATTAAACTCAGAACATTGCACTGTCATTATTCCTGAACCAGTGCCTGAGAGGAGGATTTCTGGGGCTTCTGATAAGTGTATGTAAAACTTTAAAATAATCTTGTATTCTTCTATTTTGAGAAAACTCTTCTATGTGGAAATTAGGTGAGAAGGTAAGAAGAAATACACACAAATTGTTTATTTTCTTATCCAATTAGACTATAACTCATACTTTGAATAAAAGAAAAAGAAAATCACAACATAATAACTAAAATGAGACTATTTTAATATATAACAAGCATGTTGTATCTGATTGTACCATGAAAATTTATTTCTAAACCATTGTATTTATATCACTTGCTCCTGTTTACTTCTCCATTTTTTGCATGGCATTTCAATTAAGCAGTATTTAAATGAACCACATATCAATGAGAAGTAATTTTTCTCTGACTTGGTACAGAAAAGGGTTTCATTTCTCTCACCCTACAACTCTGATTAAGAGTGCATCAACTGCACTGAATTTTTGTTGGTGATTAACTATTTCTTGCATGTATTTGTCATCTCCTATTTTATTGCTTCTTAAGCAACATTAAGGATCCCTCCGTTAACTAATTTAATTAAATTGGTACAAATTCATTTAAAAAAAAAAACATGCAGAGCAACATAGGTGAGCTATGTCCTTGCTTACATTAGAGTTAAACTTTATTTTCATACTAATAGAGTGACTTATTAATGTAAAGCTGACATTTTAGACTGACTTACGTGATGGGCGATTTCCTTTGATCTGGGTCTATGGCAGATACTGTGCCTACGAAAGCTCCATGTGGATTTTCTTCCAAAATTTCAAATATATAAGTTGGGAGGAGGAAAATAGGAGGCTCATCTTCATCCTCCACTCGGACCTTAATGAAAGTGGTGGAGGCATCAGCGTGGTAAATCAGGAGCTCCTTGTCCACATGCCGGTTCCTAACTTTGGCTCTAATACCGTAGTGGCTCTGGTGCTCAAAGTCCACCTTCTACAAAGAAAAGCAGTGTACACAGAAGAAATGGCTTCATGAACCCAAGGTATTACTTAAGGAAAAAAAAATGTATTTCTTATTAAATAGCATTTGTTTTTCAGTTAAATTTTACTTTTTATGTACATAAATTACTATTATATTATCATGACACAGGCTTCAGAAATTTATCTCTTCACAAACTTCATCATAAAATGGTTTGAAATAACTATCTTTTCATTTAGGATTAAAATTATATTTTTATAAGCATACATGTCTTGTGGAGTTGACAAGTAATTTCCTGGTATTTATGATCTTTGTTCAAAAAAATCTCCTTTATTTGAAAACCTTCTTATTTATAACAGTTGTACATATAATTCTAAAAGCTCTATAAAATATCTTTCATCTCTAAACTCATTTTCTCCTTAAACCATAAATCAAGGGTTCACATTCCATTTACTTAATGAAGCAAAAAACAAACCAGATACACAAAATAATTATGTTTTTTTGTTTTGTTTTTGCATATTCTGAGAAGCAAATAATCTAAAAATATATTTACCTTTTTTAATATAACAATTCCTTCTTGAGTCTCATTATCAGTAATGATGTCAAATGTTTTTGAATCATCCTCTTCAATGCTGTAATCCATTTCTGCATTCTCTCCTATGTCACTATCATATGCCATAATTTTTCCAATAGATGTTCCAATGGGTGCAGATTCAGAGACTGTTAGGCGGTAGAAACCTTTAAAAACAAAATTTCAGATTCTTAGGATAAACACTTAACATAACAAACTCCCAATTATAGCATTCTTTGTGTATGGTGTATAGAAAAACCCCTAGTTATTCTTCTAGTTACTTTTCTAAATTTCAATCTCTTTCTCTCTTTCTTAGAGTGCATGCATGTGTGAGTATGTGTGTGAGTGTGTGTAATATATACACACTTTTTACCTTTATTATAAAATCTGAACTTTTCCTAATAACTTACCTGAGTATCTATCGTCGTCTCATATATTTTAGTGATATCACCAGTATATATAACTCCAGATACCCATTCATATACACACACCTTAAATTCTGTGATTGACTTTTTATTGCATACTTTGACCATCACAAATTAAATTTGATAACTTTTTTTTTCATTTTTACTTGAACAATTCTTGATATTTGAAGTTACTTATGAATATAAGTGTAGATTAAGGTTGGGAGAGACTGAACACATAATAATTTGGTTTTGAATTTATGAGCTTTGATTACATTAGCCATATTTAAAAAATAAAGAAAAATGGACCCAAAAGATGTAATAACTTAATAACAATTTTGGAGCTGAAGATGACTAGATTGATTTAATCAGATGAAAATGATGTCAGATATATTTAAATTATTTAAATGGAATTGTAAATTACTGAATTCATTTTTAAATTTTTTTTTCAGAAGACGTGCATAAATCTAATATACTCTACCATACTTAAATTATTATTTAAAAAAATTTAGTTGTCTATGGACCTTTCTTTCATTTATTTAAATGCAGTGTGAGGCAAGTACTTTATCACTGAGATACAACTCCAGTCCCCCATTCTTAAATTATTACATGTGATTTATTCTGAATTGTAATAAATAATCCTAGGTGTTTATATTTCAATGAATGAAACTTCTTGAAATTAAAATAGAGCATACATAATAGAATTATTTAAAGGAATTTTAGGTTCCTTTAGAAGTATACAGCAAGTTACTTAACAGCTTGCATTTTGAGACTATACTTTTATTTAAAGCGAGAAAATAGTTGCTTATAAATTGTGAATATATTACTCTTTATTTTTTGTTTTCTTTGTTCTTTTATTTTTTAGAGTGAATGTAATGATTTAACTGTAGTTATTTCCTTATGGAAAAATTTTTAAAAGTCATTGATTTGATTGTACAAATTAAAGTTCCCAACAATTAATCAAGAGAAAACAACAACATTACCATACATTTCAAAGCAGATGCTTCAGAATTAAATATTGAGTTTATATTAAACCACCAGGTTTTAAAATTAAGAAAACAAAAGAACATTTTCTACCATCAGTACTTAGTCTTTGCAGTTTATTTTACATTCAAAAATAACTTTTTTTTTCAGCATAAATTTTTAACAAGTCCCTATTCTAGTAACTGGGATACAACAAGGTAAAATACATAGAATGATGCTTCCCTCTGCTCATATTAGCAGGAATGAAGCATACAATAAACTGGATACTACCAAGTACTCAGGCTATGTTGTGGTGGATGATTTTAAATTTTGATGAAGTGGAAAGAACTCACTGTTGATATGGCTCTTGATTAAGAACTTAAATAGGGGAAGAAATACCTGAGGACAGAGAAGATGAAAAGTCATGTTGATTGCCCGAAGTTGGTTTTCCAGAAAGCAAAGGGTAGAGTGACATAGATGAGGTCTCAGAGGTCCTGAACAGGATTGAATGGTGTCAGATCATTTAGGAACGCTAGGACCCATTAGTTGATACTAAGGTTGCTGACTTTTCATCTGTGAGATGGGAAGGCATAGAACTGATAAGATGTGACATGCACTTAGCAAGATCATGACAGCTGTGTTGAAGGAGGAAGATAGTGAAGCCCGAGGGCTAGGTGAGAGCTTATTGCAATAACAGAGACTGATTAAGACAGCAGCATGATCCAATGGGGCAGGAAGGAGCAGGTGAGAAGCATCCAGATTGTTTTGAAAGTGAGAAATGAACAATACCTTCAAAGAGATTGAGTTTTTGGTTTGAGAAAGAGAAAAGGACTTCTAAACCTTAACAGAATCTTCTCCTCTTAAAAGTTGAGTCTGTGTATATGTGTCTTTGCTCACAGAAAAATAAAAATCAGAAGGTATCAGCAAATGTACAGAATTGATCATCAACTCAGCTGAGTAGAAATTAAAATTGAACTGAATTTGGCCCAGTTCAATCTGAGTTGGATCATTAATTCTTCACACCCAGTGGCGTTTGAACTGAATAAATGAGATTTCAGCTTGAGCAATATGGAGCCTGGATTTGTTAATAATTGAGATAAGAAAATCCGTAGGAAAAAGAGGAATAGCAGGCAGATGAGATCAGAAGCTCAATAAGGAGAATGTTAGCTTTTAAATGTGTATAACATGTACAAATGAAGATACTGAGTAGGAAGTTTGATGTCTACCTGTGGAGTTCAAGAGAAAGTTCAAGAGTGGACATGTAGACTTGGAAGTTGTCAGGCCCAGCAGCAGTCTTTAAAGCCACAGGGTTGATAGCATCAAGGATTAAGGGTATTGGGAAAATAAGTCCATTGACTTGATCCCAGAAATATATCAAAGATTAAAATACATAGAGACTGAAAGTCTGAAGACTAGGAAAAGACCAAAAACCTAACCAATAAAAAAAATTAAAAAAAAAAGCATGGAGGATTTTACAATGAACATTCAAATTGTGTCAAAAAGGAATTTTTCAGATCCATGATATTATTATGGAACCACTGCCATTCTTCATTGTTGAACAAAACGTTTTTTGATACATAAATGTTTTGCTTGACAAGTCAGAAGATTTGAGAACCCTAATACAGGCAAGAATTTGCTAAGTTTAGCAGCATCTACATGATTTAGACCTGTGCATTTAGTATGTACATGCACACTAACAAACCATTCTCCCATATACAACTAATGATTGGGAAACCTGATATGTAAACATAGATTTAAATGTTGCTAACTTTCTGTGGTTTACTGATTATTATACTGGAAGGAAATGAGTGAAATTGACTTCTGTTGAGCCATCAACATAAATATGATTTCACTGGACATTGGGGCATGGGGCAAGTCAGGGAGAAGGGGAGAGAAGAAGAAGATGAAGTAATCAACAGTTTTGTTTCATTTTTCAACAGTCAATAATTAGGACATCATGCTCTGGTTGAATATGTGTGAATAGATACAAACACACACATACACAATTTTATTTGCTACTTCTTTGTTCTATGTTTAATCATAATTTCTTCTTATGACAGTTGCTCATGCTTTCTGAAAATGTTTGTAAATGTATCTGTGTAGCTAAAACAGAGTCTCCTCAAAAGATATTTCCTTAAAAAAAGAATTTTCATACAATCTACCTTACATTTATTATTTGAGCGATCAAAGCAAGTGTCTTATTCTTGCAACAAAATTGAACAATAAAAATAGTCATTTAAATTATTATTTGGGGTATGCAGAAGAATAATCTCACAAAAGTATCCATGTCCTAATATCTCTGATTCCATAAGTTGACTACCTACAGCCGCAAAAGTGAATAAAAGCTACAGATGAAATTCAAGCTGCTAATCCGCTGGCTTTTCAATGGAGAGCTTATTGTGATTTATCCAAGCATGCCCAACATAATCATACAACTTCTGAAAAGTGGAAAAAGGGGTAAAAGGTTTGGGCAGAGAGATGTCAGTGTGAGAGGTACTTGATAGGGTTGGCTGCTTGATTCTGAGACAGGCGGACTATGTAGAGAACCAGAAGGAGGCATCCAGAGTTGAGTGTCCCCCAGCTAACAGGCATCAAAGAAGCAGGGACTCCCTTCATAAAACACACAGAACTAATTTCTGCCAACACTCAAGTGAACAAGGTTGTGGACTCTCCCCTGGAGTTTACAGGAAGGGGGAGAGCCCCATCTACACCTTAATCACAGCCTGGTGACAACCCATACCAACAGTTTTTTAAGATAATCAATTTGTTTTAAGCCATGAAGTTTGTCACAGCTTGTTACAGCAGTAACAGAACACTGACATTCTACTCCTTCATTTGTATTTGACTTCTCACAGAAATGAAAATTATACCTTAGAACAATCATCACCTTCATTTTATGTAATCCTTGTGGTGATACAGTGCTTTTAGAATGCAAACTCCAACATCTGTTTATATTCAACACACTTACATTTCTATAATAATGGTTACAGATGTTTCTACTTACTTTCCTTAAATACTGGCTTATTGTCATTAATATCTGAAAGTTTAATTAGTACACTTGTTGTTCCAGACAGTGCTCCAGGCTGACCAATCATATCTTTGGCTTGAATAATTACCCAGTATTCATCTTGCAGTTCTCTGTCAGTTTTGGAAGATATTCTTATGACTCCTTTAAAAACACAAAATAATTCCAGTTTTCATTTCATTATTTATCACCATCTTCCTAGTTAAATACTTAAACAGTCCCCCATACAGTCATTCTCTTTCTATCTGCTGAATCACTAAACTGAACTGTCTACATTATTTAGATGTTTGCATTTGATATGTACATATACACATTCCCAGCCTCTCTGGTAAACCATTCATTATCTGCTGCTTCTGCCTGACATTACCTCGAAGAACAATAATAATAATGGTTTTAACACCAACTCTGCTTCCAGTCTAGAGTGGTCAATGCTAAAAACACTGGTAGATCATTAGTAAACTATATGTTGGTCTAGGAGTTTCAACTCTGCCATGCTATGCTGTTATATATTACCCATACCCTGCAATGTCCTTCCAATCTCTCTTCTACTAGGCCACGGGGTCATTTTAGCCTTCTGGATTCAGATACTCTACTTTGACCATGTAGTCTGAAGTTTTGCTTCCTTTCTTTGTCTAACGGAATCCTTTGTTTCACTTTAGAGTTATTCACCAGTTCAAAGTATGTATTTACGAATAACCACACTTACTGTCTATTTGTAAGTGCCAAGAGAGAAAAGTCCATGTTCAAGTTTGCTTTTTGTAATTTTTATGCTACAGTATCAAACCTCTAAAAATCCTGAATGTTATGTAACACTTTGTACTTAGTCTTCAAGAGCCAAGATTGTGTGAAGGAATTAAAACCTAATGTTTTAAGGCATCTACTGCTTATAATAAAATAATGTCTCTCCTGGGTATCCTGAAAAATAAAATATATGGACTCTCTATGAGAGAAATAAGAACATAGGCATGGAAGTCAGATTCATTCAAATACAATGCTCTCAAGGACTTTGAGATTGGCTAAGATATTTAATATTTGCTAAATGAATGAATACATTAGAAATACATAAAAATTAATTTTGTTTAATTTTTAATATAATCAAACTAGAATAATATTTGCCTCTTGATAACAATCATATAATTTTACTTCTTTTTGCACTTGGTACATAATTTAGCAATTTGTTATAAACTTCTTTTTTATCTCTATCAATTATAATTTCCTTAGGTGAAGACTCATACACTTATCTTTCTTGTTGTTTTGATTTTTAGAGGTAGGGTTTTTCTTTTTTGCCCAGGCTGGACTTGAACTTTTGGTTCTGTTGCTCAGCCTCCCATGTGGCTGGGATTTATGTGTCACTGCATCCAACTCTGTACCTTCTTAATCTTTGTTTTGAATACATGATTTAATATCGGTTAAATGGTTCAGTGTTATATATGTATATGTATTCTGTATTCAATAGAAATGTGCAAAAAGAAAGAAAAAATATGTGTTCTATAGATTTTATGAGGCATTCAATTGATAAAGGAAAATTGGAGAAACAATGAGAGAAAAAGAATCAAATGTAATATTCATCTAAACGAAATACATAAAAACAATACTTTTAAGTGACTCTGTCAAACCAATTCATCCTGTCTTCTACCCTTACTTAATCTCAGTCATTGGGATTGCTATGCAAACAAATGTATCTCACCATGTTTTCCCGATAACCAATGAGGCTGAGTGTTTTTAAGGTTTATAATTTTTTTCCACATCACTTTTTGTGATTGTAAATCACAAAAATTGCTTGTAAAATTTTCTCCCCATATTTTTCAATTGGTTTGTCTATCTTTTTTCCTAATTGATTTTTAAGAATCCTTACTTATGTTTTATACCACATACATAAATCATTTGTGATATGAATATGGAAAATTCAATCATCTAATCTTAGAAAAACAGCTTAAAGACTAAATGTAATTAAATGTTTAGGAATTGCAACCCATTTATTTATTGAAGATTCAGGTCTACTTTAAAACATGTTTTTAAGCTGATATTTGCCTGCTTCAGAATCATGTTAAAATGCAATTTTTAATATTTAATTTTTTAGTTGTAGTTGAACATAATATCTTTATTCTATTTATTTATTTTTATGTGGTGCTGAGGATCGAAACCAGGGCCTTGCATGTGCTAGGCAAGCACTTTACAGCTAAGCCACAACCCCAGCCAACAAATATATATATATATATATATATATATATATATATATATATATATTTTTTTTTTTTTTTTTTTTAATCAGAAATACCTGTTGTGGGTTCAACAGAAAAATAGGCTTGTCCTTGTCGTAAGCTGTACAGGAGACGTGCATTATTGCCACTCGTAGGATCATCAGCATCACTTGCTGTTACCTGGATGACAAATGTTCCTGAAGGAAAAGCACATATTGACAGGAAATTAAGACTCCAATCTTATTAAATATGAGTTCAATTCTGCAAAGCACTTTTCATTAGCAAGAAAGATCATACTATAAAACAAGATCCTAGTTTACCCGCTTTCTCTGAATTACAGAAATAATGTTATTTTACAGACAAGGAACATAATCCTATATAAAGTAGCCCTGATTCTTCTACGCATTACAGAACTTCAGATGCAGATTCATAACAGGTCAAATATTAAGCAGTTTACTATAATATATAATCCATAATCTTTCCAAGATGTGTTATTATTGGAAAAATTAAAAAAAAAACTTGAAAATGCTTTTCATCAAAAATCTTAATGTGGCCGGTACCTCAAACAATTGCATAATGTTGACAAATATTGGTAACGATTATTGAAATGAGCTTGAAAGAATATCCAGTGGAGGCTAAGAATAATGATTAGGCCTGTTTCAGTTCTTTCCTCTGTACCTATTTGCTTTGAGGAATAATAAAAAAAGCAAAACAAAATCTAGTTGATATTAATAAAGTAAGCCTTCTTTCTAACTTCAGTATTAATCAATACAACCATGTGAAATAATTATTTGTACATTTACTATAAATGCCCAAGTGCAAAAATATTTGCATAAAATATTGAGCTTTGAAATCATATCTATACAAATGAAATTGAGCATTACCAATTTCGTCAAAATCTACATTTGTTGAAACAAAATATACACTTTCAAAAAGAATGATCATACAATGGTACAAAATCCAATAAGCTCTGTGATTTTCTTTAGAACTAGTATTATGAATTTCCCCATCACTAACCCTGGACCATGGCATGTGCCTGCAATCCCAGGCACTAGGGAGGCTGAGGAATAAGGATCACAAATTCAAGGCCAGCCTCAGAATATTTGAGAGGCTCTAAACAACTGAGTGAAACCTTGTCTCAAAATGAAAAATAAAACAAAAAGGGCTAGGATGTGGTCAGAGGAAAAAAACACCCCTGGGTTCAATTCCCAGTAGCAAAAAAAAAAAAATTCTATCACAATCCCATTGTATAAACTGGGACACCCTAATAGGAATTGCTTCTATACTTCAAACTGGGGGTGGTTCCTCAGTACTATGCATTTGTCACTATTTGTATTAGTTCTTTTAATGTTACTTACTAACATTTATTTTAGTATCAAATAGCATATTTTACCAAAGAATCCCTTCTTGTTAGCATAACTTTAATTAGGCAACACTTTCACCAGGTTGAAATAAAACTAGAATAATAAAATACAGGAAAAGAAAAATTTACCTACCCCTTCCAATACTTAATTATTCCAACCACTTAACATGTAGACACTTGTTAATTTCATATATTTTAAGACATGTCTATACAATAATTTTGATGATTTATTCAAATACAGTGTTTCAGAAGGAGCATTACTTTAACCAATCTGTGTCAAATCAGCTAGACTGATTGTTTCATTTCCCCTTCTAGGTACACATCCATTGAGTTAAGGAGTTAGATCCTGTTTCCCAGCCCTGCTCTTTAATATCTCATTTTAAGTTGAAGCTTTCTTTACTTCTAACTGAAACTTACCTCTTGAGCATCTCAATATGTCATTCCCTTGCTCTCTACAAAATGGAAAACCTAGTGTACTGTTAGAGAGAGAGAGAGAGAGAGAGAGAGAGAGAGAGAGAGAGAGAGAGA